GGAAAGCTCGTTTCTTCTACTTCAAACATACATTTTCGTTTTCGGAGATCTTCGTTCAGACCGAAGTTCCGTGCCTTTAAAGGTGAGGAACTCAAACTTGAGAATTTTTCCTTTCATTCGACTTGCCCTAATTCCATGAAAAATGCTCAGATTTGTTCCAAAAAACATGTGTTATAATCGTGAAGATTTGTGCTACAGAACGCTCACCAAGGCTAAATTTTTTAGAAATCTTGCTTTGACTCAAACTTAGCTGAATGCTGAGATCACTAGGAGCTTTATGAAATGCTTACAGGAGAAGCAATTACAGAACTTTCAGTTTTTGGTAAAGTAGACCAAGGACTACTATTAATAGGAAAAAGGCAGAATTTTCTCGTTTTTGAAATGAGAAAAAATTGAAGGAATCTAAAAATTACAAGCTTTTGCCTTTTCTAAAATGCAGGAAAAAATGGTACTTTTGCTTTCTTGGCATATTTTTTTGCAGAAAATTTTTGGTAGAAGCCAAGTTCCACGCTACCACTGAATCAACCATCGACTACACAATGAGCAAAGTTTGCTTCAATCTACTTCTTTTGAGAGTAAGTTATGCTCCTTCAAACTAAAGCTTTCCAGAAAAAATTCTCGGTAAATTCTGAGCCGTAAAATCTTTCCCGTGATGAGTGCAATCACACAAAAGTGTACGCTGTATAGCTAAAAGTTCGCTGTCTATAATATTTTTGTTGCGCTCGGAAAGATTGTTTTAGAAAAGAATTATCTTCATTTGAAGTGGAAGTTGAGTAAACGTGCATTAATTATGAACCAACCTAATATATACTTTGACTTAATTCTATACTACAAAAAGAAAGGAAAAAATTCAAACTGCTTCCATATGTAACTATGTGAACACAACAAAAATATCATGAAAGGGAATAATTACAGTCAGAATGGCTTAGCACTGTCGAGACCAATTCAATAAATACTAACGCATACAGAATAATTAGAGAAATCTGTAGACTAATGAAATTGTTTTGTCATTGATTATGTAGGTTATACAAGAAAAACTACATAGAAAATTTCACGCTAATCTCCAAGAGAAGAATAAAGGTATGTGCTTTTATTTTTCTACCCATTCGGTACTTTTCCGTTATCCGGACCCATTTTTTCAAAAGGCTCTCATGAATGCGCTAATTGGTTTGAGAACAATTTTTTTATAGATTCTACGAGGACCGCCTTCTTGCCACGTGTCAGAAAAAAATTAACACGTTTTGGTCCAATTTGACATATTTTTTTTTCGAAAGTATTCCCGGTGAGGTAAAAGAGCATTTATGGTCACCTAAAAGTTGTTTAACGGTTTCTGTAAGAGGAAAACAATTTAGAATTTATATTAGGACTTTTACTGCTTTTAGGAATGATTCAAAAATGACTCTCTCTCCAAACGTTGTCCGCCATGCGATTTTAGCCAAGAAGGACTGTAAATGATGGCTGAAGTACCTCGCTACTGCTTGTTTCGAAAATGATGAGAATCTATCACGATTCTCTATTCTGAGCAAGTCCAGTCTGTTCATTAATAATAGGATAACGCCATAATCATAATGATATTTATTTTTGAAATTGTTTACTCGGAAATGGGGTCATTAATGATTGAAAAATCGATTGAACTTGAGTCAGTAGGTAAGGCTTGGTAAAACCTGCTCAACATGTGGATGACATGTCAAATTTTTTTGACACGTGGTAGAAGGTTGACACTCCTTTCCTGCGAATTTAGGAGCAAATATGGTACAAGGAAAGAAGCAATATCCTTCTTTGAAAAATGAGTCCGGATAACGGAAAAGTACCGAATAAAGGTATGTGCTTTTATTTTTCTACCCATTTGGCTAAATTAGACTTAATGAATGACACATATTCATCAAATGGAAGTTGCTTGAAATTTGGAAGCTTGTTTTTGATTTATAATGCAGCTTAAAGGCAGCGTAACCCAAAACAAATGCAACAGATGTTGCAACAGCAACTGCAACTGCAATTGCAGCTTACGCTGTTATGGATTCGTCCGGAGGAGGCGGAGCGAAAGAAAAGGGACGGCATGAAAGAAAATTGAGGAGGGTTTTCTCCGCTCAGAAGCAACATTGGGAGACCGGACCAACGCAGTTGGTCTTCTTCTGGGCCCAGTATATACACGGTGTAGAAAGATCTTGGAAATTCGGTAACTCAAATTTTGGGTGTACGCTGCCTTTAAGCGTTTTTAGAAGCTTCAAAGTTTTTTGCTATAATCTCATTTGGATCACATACATAATCTAGCTCAAGGGATTTGAAAGAAGTCCCAACTTTGAAATGAATGACGAATGCGATCTGAGACTTCATCAGTCTCGGAAGACATGGAACTTTTTGCAAAAGCAATAAAATGTTTCAAACCCATATTTTGTACCCATGAGAGCTATTATGATGATTCTTTTTAATTTCTTGCCTTCGGAGGAAAACTGAGTAAAAAAAATTGTATTTGAAAAATAATTGCAGACAGATAAGTAGTAGAAGCAAGTAAGTCATCAAATGTCACGACTGCCTTAGGGAAAGTCGCACATCTGCAGTAATAAGCTCTCTTGCAAAACAATTCTAGCGGAAGTGATTATAGCATTCAGTAAATAATATAATCTATAGAAAAAACATAAAAGTCGTGATAACGTAAAATAAAAATGTAGAGCCTATGGAACTCTAAGTCCATGACGTGAGTTCCTTACTCATAGTTTCAATCACTGAAGCACATTTATTATTACATTCATGCAGAGTTTCTAAAGCTCAATAAAGTCAAAATTTTTTGTATTAAATGGCTATGAAGTCACTAGCAAACCAGATTTTGCCTTTCGGGGAATCCCCGTCCACAAAAGACCAAGCCCATGATTTATGATTTATCGACCATAGAGCAAGTTTTTGAAAGTAGAAATCACTCTAGATGTTCACTTATGAAGTTCATGAAATTCTTTCAAGAGTTTGTCGAGTTCTAGCACTGCCGGTCAAAAATGGATAGATTTAAATAACTTCCAATGAGGTTGTTTACAACAAGCATGCACTTTTCTCAGCGCAATATAGATTTACCGACTGCGTCTTTATTCAATCGGCTTCCAAGGATTGTATCGCGAGTAGCGCAAAGTTTTAGAAAAATAAAGGAGAGCCAGTTAGATATCTAGTATCAAGATAATATAAGCACACTTCACAATTGCTTTGGTTATATGAGTCACTAGCTGGCTTACCCGGCTCCGCCGTATCCGGACCAAACTTGGCACACATACACTTCGGGCCCCGGCGCGTGTCACAGTCCACTTTTCGTTATCGATCGATGTCGATCTTACCGATTTTTATCGATTTTTTCGCAGAGTTCACCTACAGGGCTAGGAGTTGGCACAGGGGGGAAGTGAGCATGGGGATTCCGAATACAATATTAGTTTTCAGAATTATCGGTTACTTTTATTGATTTTATCGATTTTTTGTAAATTCTGACATGCGAGGCTGGGATTTTGCACAGGGGGGTAATCGAGCATGCTGATTACGAACACAATATTAGTTTTCAGGATCGTCCATTACTTTTATCGATTTTATCAATTTTTTTGTAAAGTTTGACCTGCGGGGCTGGGAGTTTGCAAAGGGGGGTAATCGAGCATGCAGATTACGAATACAATATTAGTTTTTGGAATTATCCATTACTTCTATCGATTTTATCGATTTTGCAAAATTTGAGCTAGGGGGCTGGAATTTGGCACAGGGGTGTAATCGAGCATGCTGATCACCCCCTTGGGGATGATCAGCATGCTCGATTACCCCCCTGTGCCAACTCCCAGCCCCCTAGCTCAAACTTTGCAAAAAATCGATAAAATCGATAAAAGTAATCGATAATCCCGAAAACCAATATTGTATTCGGAATCCCCATGCTCGATTACCCCCCTGCGCGAACTCCCAGCCCCGTAGCTCAAACTTTGCAAAAAAATCGATAAAATCGATAAAAGTAATCGATAATCCTGAAAACCAATATTGTATTCGGAATCCCCATGCTCGATTACCCCCCTGTGCCAACTCCCAGCCCCGTAGCTCAAACTTTGCAAAAAAATCGATAAAATCGATAAAAGTAATCGATAATCCTGAAAACCAATATTGTATTCGGAATCCCCATGCTCGATTACCCCCCTGTGCCAACTCCCAGCCCCGTAGGTGAACTCAGCAAAAAAATCGATAAAATCGATAAAATCGATATCGATCGATGACGAAAAGTAGCCTATGACACCCGCCGGGGCCCGTAGTGTATGTGTGCCAAGTTTGGTCCGGATCGGTTCAGAAATGGAATTTTCTATTCGGAACATACGTACATACATACATACATACATACATACAGACAGACAGACATACAAACAGACATTCAGCTTTATATATAAGATGATCCGGTTTTTTTTTCTTTTAAAAACAAATACCTAACAAAGATAGAATCTGCAAACTTTGACACAGGAAAAACCAAAAGTCAGCTACCCATTCCTGCGCTTAACTTTATGCTCCTTCCAGTGTCTTTGTGATGTGGTCAACTTTCAGTCAGAAGTCAGAACTTGCTTACTTGATACTGTAAAATTCACCCTAAACGTATTTTAATGAAAACTGTTTGTATCAATAAAACTAGCTTTTATCCAGATTGGATATGCAGCTAGATCATCTAAGAAATAATTTGTTACTGTTGATTTCGTCCTTCTGAGCTCGAAAGGAGCACATAATATAAAGAAAAATTAGTTTTACATGTTCTACTCCGTATCGTCCGTTTAGACGGAGTTGAAATAAGTAGGTAAACGTAAGTAAACAATAAGTCAATTAAGTGGTAAAATAAGTAGGTAATGTATTGGTCAAACTCCGCCCACTCTATGGAGAACCCCGCCTACGACAATCTTTTGCGCGTACACGCATAACGAGCATTACACACAAATACATTAGATGTTTGAGAAGCAGCTGACAAAATTAACCTGATCAATTTAAATTTGTATGTTCGAAAATGAACTTACTCTGGCACGTGATCGTACTGAACCATTTCGTTCAAGCATCTAGTCATATAGGTCTTTACCTTCACTATGACGGTATATCTGTCACAGTTAACGAATAGCTGAAAATTAGATTCTGAAGCAATTTTTGAAAAAACGATTAGCTCAGTCGAGCTTCACGAGCAGATTATTCAGCGAAGTCGTTAAGAAGTTTTGTTTGATAATTTTCTGATGATAGCGGAGCCGAATCGATGAGAGACTGTTATCAGGAGCAAAAGAGCGATTCAGAATGTGCTGCTTTGCTGGTGATAGTGCTAAAAATAGCCACACATTGACGGTGCCGCCGTTTAAAGGCGGCTTGGTCTTTTCTTTGTGCACAAAGAAGAAGAAGAAAACAATGGCAGTGATGACGAGAATGTTGTACGTGCTCTGAGTCAAGAGAAATTTCTAGAGAAGCTTGTTATTCGGAGTTAATGTGGCATAAAAGTGAGTCCCGGTAGCTCAAGTAGACATCTTCGAGCCTCTGAAATCAAAGTGCGGAAAACGATTTGCTCACCGTTGTGAGAAATCCCAAAAAAATCGCTTACTTTTAATTTTTATAGATTCATGACAGAGTAATGTTCTCAAGGTATGAAAACCAGTGGCATACCGAGGGGGTGGGCGCCCCCCCCCCCCCGAGAAAGGGTCGCGAAATTTTTGAAAGTTACTTAAATGTGCTATAAAAATGTGCAAGCAACTTGTTTTTACTTGTAAATAATTAAAATAATTTTTAAAAATTTTTGAAAATTCAAATTAGCCCTGTAAAACAATCTCTTTCGGGGGCAGCCTTATTTGAAATTTTGGGGTCAGGGGCCCGCAAAAATTGGAATCATCCCAAAAAAATTTTTCGGAGTGCGCGGCTATCGCCAAAATTTTTTGTCGCCCTTCCCCCCCCCCCCCCTCCCTCAAACGGAAATCCTAGGTACGGCATTGACAAATACCTATGTAAAAGTGGCAAACCAGAATTCCCCCCCCCCCCCCCTATAGAGTAGGTCATGAAATTTGTGAAAGTAGATTACATGAGCCATAGAATTGGTAAGCGACTTTTTTTACTCATAAATAATCAAAACAGTTTGTGATATTTGTAAAAATTCTCACAAATTCATAGCTTTCTTCTCGCAGTTCCTCTCCAAAATTTCAAAAATTTGGGCTGGCATTTTTGGAAAGCATCTCTTTCAAACGGGGAGGGGGAGGGGAAACAGCGCAGAACTTTTTCCGGAAAAAAATTCCGCGTGTTCTCCCTCTCTCCCCCCTCCCTCCCCCTCCCCCCCCCCCCCCTCCTCCAAAGAAAATTTCTTGGCTCGCCACTATCCAACAGTTGGTTTTTTTTCATAGGAGAGTGACTGAAAATTATCCAGAAAAGGGGAGGGGAGGTGGCACTAGCCATGCTTTCCGAAAAACTTTTTCGGAACTTCAAGAACGTTGCACTTCAAGAATTTTCAAAAATAATCTTACCAAATAAAAACAAGTCGCTTGCAGAAATGCGTGTTACCCATGTAAGCCACTATTATAAACTTGATGGCCACCGGAGGATGAGCGAAGAGGCTCCAAAAATATCCAGCACAAAGAACAGCACTAAAATGACGTCTAGGCACTAAAATGATGCGAGAACCCCCCGACACCGCGGTTCTGTTTCCCCGTCGCAAATCTCAAATTTCATCTAGTTCTAACAAATTTGTCTATGTTTATTTGTTGCGCAAATGTTCATCACTAAGGAGACAGCAAATAATCGCACAATAGGAAGCAGCGTAGACTTGAGGGATGTAGGATGAGAGATTGCAGAGTTAAATTTAGAATGACGATAAGGATTTACAATCTCAGTAGTTTCTTGATCCTTTTCTTTTCTTTAGGTGATGCAGAAAATCTCCTTCCCTGTTTAGCACTCAACAATATGAAGATTCCACAAGGCTACTGCAGAAAGTGCATAGAGAGGACTATACTGAAGCGGTAAAATACGTAAATTGGTCGTTTATACATTGTAGAATATAGTCATGGAAACTTCCTCTTCTAACTGAAAAATATGCTCAAGGAATTTCCACTATGACTTTAAAGCGTACTTAATCCTTTTCCATCTTTTTTGTCTTTATTTTCGCTCCGTAACTCATAAGGCATAGTGAAAAAAGGCGTCGAGGTTTGGGAGCTATTTACGTATATTCAGAAGTGGAGTTGATACATGGTAGTACTCTTGACACAACGACACAATAAAGTGACTGATAGCGAATCCCTCCCCTTTCTCCCTCTCCCCCCCCCCCTTCCCTTTTATGGGAAGGAGTGTAGGGTAGTTGGCGCAATTTGTCCACTGTATTCGCCCCGGACCCCTCCTTTCTGCAGCTGATGAGTGTATCCACATAGCGACGTATCAGTGGCGAACCGAGGTGGGGGGGGGGGGAGACTAACGTGGCTAACGCCACGCCCCCTTTCTCAGGATTTTTGGGGTTGGGGACCCGCAAAAATTTTGAGAAGCACACCAAAAATTTTTTCGGAGTGCGTGGCTAACGCCACACACCTTCATTTGAGAAAAATTTTTGTCGCCCGCCCCCGATCCGAAATCCTGGGACTGCCACTGCGACGTATGCATCTTTTCGCTCCATTTCTGAGCCGGTCCAGACATTGTACAGACACTTTGGCGAGACTGACGTCATAGGCTACTTTTCGTTGTCGGTCAATATCAAATTTTGCAAACTTTGAGCTACGCGGCCGTTGACGGGCGCAGGGGAGGGAGTAAGCATGCCGATCAAGAAATATTATAAATGATCTAGATCGACTGCCTCTGCCCGTTCCACCATTTTTTGCAAACTTTGAGCTAGGGGGCTGTGATTTGGTGCTTTAGGGTAGTGAACATGGTGGTCATGAGCATAACAACCGTTTATAAAAAAATGCCCAGCATGTCTCCTCCAGTAGCTCGCGTAGATGGATCTTCAGGCAATTGAGTCTTTGGTAATCTTTAATGTTTGGAGATGTGCAGTTAGTGATTGCGGTTTGTCATGTAGATGAGAACACCAGCGAGTTGGAAAGGCGTCACACCGTCCAGTGAGTGCTTGGGACTTGCGGTCAATCTTGTGGACAGACCCGGAACAACGCAGTTGCATGGTTAGGGAGCATCAACAGAACGCGACAAGCCGCCTTGTCCCGTTCTTGCTCTTCTAAATATTAGGATGTCGTTTCTTTTTGGTAGTTGTCACTCTTATACATAAACGTGATCTAATCTAGTCGTGCTTTGTGATTACCGTTATGTCGTATCTAAACGAAGGCGTCGCGACGCGCTTGGAAGTGCGCACGGAGTAGAAGCGCAAGATCCTGGGGTAAGAAGTTGCAGTGTTAGGCGAACGAACACTCGGCGAGGGGTGCTGAGTACACCGAGCCGCAACATCTGATATCAATGTACCCTTTGATTCATCGCGAGGGGAGGGTGGAAGGCGACCGCTCGCACCTGCGACGCAATCTGCGTCTCTCTCGCATGCGTGCTTTTTACTCTTTCCCTAGCCTTAATTAGACCCGAAACCCCTCCTTCCACCCGCCACTCCTGATGAAACAAAGGATATCACGACTGTAATGTCAAACATTCGACACGGTAAATCAAATTTTATACAGGAAAAAATGAGATGATCAAGTACGCCCGTTGAAGTTAATCACGCCTATATGTAGAATATCTAAAATGATGCTTTTCCCTCACCTTGCGGCTACAGAAACACAAAAGTTATGGAAGTTATAGCTTGTCTAGAAGGTTTTCCGTTGTTTGCAAAAGTACGGTCGAGTAGATTCAGCGGTAAATATAGTGTGCTTGCACAGAAGGTGAAATGCGGTGAAATTTGCGCGTGAACAAGTAGCCACGTCAGTACCGCGGGCATCTTGCGCGCGCAATTGGCCGGAGTCACAGTCGAAACTATTTCTTCACGCGCCATTTTACCGCATTTCACCTTTTGTGCAAGCACACTATATTTACCGCTAAATCTACTCGACTGTAGTTTAGGCAACGATCTCAAAGAAAGGAAGGCATATTCTTCCTAAAACTTGCAAACTAGAGTGCAGTGGAGATATACGTTTGGTTTCTGTAAGTTTCATTTGTCAGCAAATGTAGCCAAAAATAATCTGCAAGGGAACTAGAATAGTTTTCGCTTTATGATGCAAATGTGGGGAGACTCGACTAATAATAGAACTCATTTCGCATACTTTACGACCATTATGTAATATGGCCACATATTCTCATTGTAACATGCTTTGCACGGGTTTTACATACCACAAGCAATTACATAACTTTCATGAGACAGTTAGAGGAACGAGAATACGAAGCTGAGGTTTGCAAGACACTTTGGAGAAAAGCTTTTTACTATTTATGGAGCTTCTCATTGCAAGCCGCAGATCTTAGGGATTCGATAACAAACAAATTCAATTAGTAAGCTTGAAGGTGATCGGATATGAATGGTTACTAACTAGCTATGGCTGAGCTGGGTAGCGAAAAATAGACGGGGGATTTTCCTGGATGAAAATATTTACAGCCGGATTATCACATATGCTAATACTATAAATAGCACTAGACATGTGTGACTAATAATCAACAGATGGTAAAAATGTCAAAATTGTGCCAAAGTTTCTATTTGAGTTACTTGATGAAATAGCGTAAAAGACAAAATGTCAAGTTTGCACTGAAATCGTTTTGCAAGTCTAAAAGGATTCGAAGCCAAGAATAATTTTAAAAAAACCTATGTTCGACGTATTCGGACCGGGTAACCTGATGGTGACGGTAATGTCAGAATGTCAGCAGCGATGGCAGAGATCCTCGAGAGTGGGATAGGAGGGAGGGGGGGGGGGGGGAAGGGTGGCTAAATTTGCAGAGGAGTGGCATTGCGAACCTTCCGAGAACTTTATCTATATCCTTCAAATTTGGAAGGATAAAAATTTTACAAAAAGTTGCAAATGATATGGAGTTTAAATTGTTTAACAAATATTTATTTATAGATATAAGCAGTCAGAACCTCCCCACTTTTCGAAAAATTTCCTGTTCTATTCAGAAAGGAAGCCTCTGT